ATTTTCCTGGACCAGGGATCGAACCCGTGTCCCCTGCACTGGCAGGTGGATTCTTAACCACTGCGCCACCGGGGAAGCCCTCTCTTTAAATATTGACTTTCCCCATTGCTGGCATTCTCGTCCTGGAATTCTGAGAGACATGAGTGAGGCCTTTTCACTCTCTGCCTCAGTGTCTCTTTTTCTTTTTTAATTTTATTGAAGTATAGTTGATTTACAATGTTGTGTTAATTTCTGCTGTACAGCAAAGTGATTCTGTTATATACATATATATTCTTTTCCATTATGGTTCATCACAGGACGTTGCATATGGTTCCCTGTGCACTACAGTATCTGCCTCGGTGTCTCTTAATCACTTTTTCATAATTTTAATTCCTTACTCTGGGCCAATTTGTCAATTTTCCTTCAATTCTACAGCCCCCATTTCACTGTTCTCTCTTGATCTGTGATAGATTTTTTCTTTTCAAATTCACCAGGACTCGTTTTATTAATTTTTTCGTTCTCATTGCGCATGTTTCTAATGACCTCTCTGATTCCTTCAGGTGTCTTAAATGTGCTGGTTTTAGGTCCTGGAAACTCCGAACCCCTTGCAGCCCACTGCTGCTCACTGTTTCCTGGGGCTTCTTCTCAGTTGCTTGTGTAGCATCATCCCTTCGATTTCTACTTGGCCAGAATACGTCTGTGGGAATTTTACAAGACGTGAACTAAGAGGACGTTCTTACAGAAGTATTTGCCTTTGCTTCTGCCATTTGCCCCCGTGGCTCCATCAACCCGGGGACTTTTTAAGTTAAGTTCTCAGCTTGCTAAGCCTCAGAACACACGTATGGGAGGCGGGTGATATGGGCATAAGTTCTCAGAGGAGCCCTTTCCTCCCTCTTGGTCCTGAGGCTGGCCCAGTGCTTTCTAGACCTTTCTTCTGGCAGATGGTTTTGCTCCTCCTCTCCCTGTTGGAAGATCACACCACCTGCCTTTACCTTGTGACTGTCTATGCTGCTCTCAGCTACAGAAATGAGTCCCAGGGGCTTCCCTGGTGGCGCAGTGGCTGAGAGTCCACCTGCCGATGCAGGGGACACGGGTTCGTGCCCCGGTCCGGGAAGATCCCACATGCCGTGGAGCGGCTGGGCCCGTGAGCCATGGCCGCTGAGCCTGCGCGTCCGGAGCCTGTGCTCTGCAACGGGAGAGGCCACAACAGTGAGAGGCCCGCGTACCGCAAAAAAAAAAAAAGAAAAAAGAAATGAGTCCCACCCAGTTCCCTCAGGCCTTGGTCCATGAAACACGTGTGTGCGGCTGGAAGGTTTCCAGAGCTAAAGCTTTCAGCGATGCCAGGGACCCCATTACTTTCACCCAGGACGGCACAGCCCAGACGGGAGGATTTTTTAAAGCAAACTTTAATGCTGTCTCATAAATATATTGAGGGGGGGAGAGAAATTTAGAAAAATACCTTTAAAGAAAGATGTGAAAAGTCTCCTGGGAACATGAAGAAACAAATCTTAAAAAACATGTCCACATCCAAGTACTTCCTGTTACATGTCCGCCTAGTACAGGGCACCTTAGGATTCCACGTTTACTTCCACGGGCTTTCACTGTGTTGGTCCTATGTCATGAGGGGCCACTCTGAAGCATACGGGGGATGGGATTTGTGAGCAATTGACAGAATTATTACCCTGAGTTTTTAAGAGGACATGAAGGTGGGTGTGCAAACTCGGGTCTCCATTCTGCTTAACACGGGGATTATCGTCCTGAGACGGGGCTCCATCCGGCCAGTCCTGCGTCCACACCTCATTGGTCTCCCACCAGGCGCCGTGGCCACAGGGGGCCCTTCCACAGTGGAGCCGATGTCTCTGCAGCCCCTTCTCAGCTCTCTCTGCCCTCCCGGGAGCTCGCGGCTCCAGTCACGTTAACGCTTTCCCCCTGCACGCTGTGCTTTTCCATGACGCTTCGCCTTGTTTCGTGCCGCTCCGTCCATCTGAATGCCAGCCCTCCTTTCGTCACACCTGGAAAACGTTTACTTCTCGTGGCCGGCCACCCTGCGGCCTTCTTCCTGGGGTGTCTTTGACTCTCCCATTGGGGCGACTCACTTCTCCTGCTGTCTCTTCTCGAAGCACCTGTGGGTCATGATTCTGTGTGTCGAGAGCACGCATTTCCCACTCTTAAACCCGCAGACTCTCTTCTGGTTAAATATTCAGATCGCTTCCTCCGTGGAATATTCAGATTCTCTCCTCCTGGAGCTTCTCTCCTCCGTGGATTTACTCTCAGCTTCTGGAGGGAAGCCCTGTCTCAGCGCCGTGTCTGCTGAAAGGTGGCCGCAGCCCCCCTGCTGCCACGACCTCCTTCTCCACCTTCATGTGCCCTGGGCGCCCTTTCTGCTCACGCCGGGGCTCCCCAGGACAGCTGTCTGCTCCCCTCCACCCCCCGAGACCCAGGAGAGGCCGGATGCGGTCCCACCTGCTGTCTGGTGGCCGCAGCCCCTCTGGGCTGCAGAGTTATTGCAACCCTCCTCTCAGATTCTGAGACGACAGTGGCTCGGACACCAGGCCCACTGCTCCCGGGCACCAGGCCCCGCCACCTGGGCCCTCGGCTGGACCAGCTCCACTCCACATATGATTTTCTTGATCTTTACACTGTTACTGATTATTTGGGCTGCGCCTGTCCTGGCAGCTGTAGTGGGTGACAGCACCCTCTAGAGTATAGTGCACTGAGGTCCCATCGTGTAGAAACCCGCTGACGTGAATACAGGCTTTATCTGCCAGCATCCCTGGCAGGTGCTAGGAACATTGCCTTCACACTCTATAGTAATCCTGATTGATACCTCGACATCCTCACCTGACTCCAGAACTGAGCACCTGTCCACGCTTGGCCCCGTCAGAAGACTCCAGAGGCTGTGCTTCCCCTGGGGTTCTAAGCTGTGATATGTACATAGGGTGAGAGCTGCCTTTCTTGCCGTGGGAAGTGAACCCCTTGAGACCACAGATAACATGAAGGAAAGCAAAGCCCAGGGATGGAGAGAGAGGAGCCCAGACCACAGCTCTACAGCTGCTGGATCCAGCCATGCCTGAAGACTTCCCAGTCACATGAGATAATGAACTCCTGGTTTTTTTCAAGTGGATTTTAGGTCAGGTTCTGCCAACTGAGGAAAGTCTGATACAGCACTGCTTCATGGGAATTGTATATAACACATCTCAACTATTTAGATATTCATGCGCAATTTGAGAAACAAGGTATATATGAAAGAAAAAAGAATATAAAAGATGATATAAATTAAATGCATCAATGCTTGAAACCAGTTATTTTTGGTCTGTTTTCCAGATTAAAAATTTCTAATTTTTACATTTTTTATCTTTGTTTCTTTCTCTTTATTCACATTTAAGGTAATCATTATGTTTACCCTTAACATTTCTAAGAAAATTGGGCTCAAAGAATAGTGAGAGGCCACTCAACATTTGATTTAAGAATCATCTTTGTAAATAATTTTTCTTCCTTTAATGCATTGATTCATTCATTCCCTGAAGGAAACCACTTAAACCATCACACGATCCTGATCCTCCCTCTAGGAATGAAATGTAGAACATTTACATCACGAAAGGATCACCCTCAGGGCTTCCCTGGCAGTCCAGCAGTTAAGACTCCACACTTCCAATGCAGGAGGCATGGGTCCAATCCCTGGTCAGGGAACTAAGGCCAAAAACTTAAAAAAAAAAAAAAAAAAAGGATTACTCTCTGTGCAGTTTTTTCTAAGAAACATTTCTTACTGAATTGTAATAAATACACACTCCCAAAAGTGTGCAAATCATAAGTTTACAAA